AAGGGTCAGCATGGACAGGATCCAAGGCTGCAGCCAGCACTCGGGAAGTGAGACCCCACTTGCAGACTCTATTCACAGTCTGGTTCTGAACACAGCAGCTGCCAGGTCTCAAGGACTGTGCGGCAGGGTCAAGATCCACAGTACAGATCAGCTGATAGCCAAAGGTGGCTGGGGGTCAAGCAGCTGCAAGCAGAGCCTGTGATCAGGCCAGTACTGGGGCCTCCCTTCAGTTTGGATGGCACCCAGCAGAGTGTGGCACTGGGGCCTCCAACTGTGTCTTCCGGTTTTCTCTGTGGTGCTCACACCTGTAAAGTCAGCCCTCTAGCAGTGGGGCAAGTATGCGTAGGTGCCTGCCTACCCTCTGTCAAGGTGGGCTCTCATAATCTTGGTGAGGGCTGGACCCACGGGACCTGAGAAGGAATTCTGTGGTGTGACCCCTGCTAGCAGCTGGGCGGGTGTGGGGGAACATCCCACAGGCCTTAGTCCTGAGCTCTGCCCGGGTGGTGGGAGTTACTGTATCCCCTGGGAAGGCCCTCAGGGCCAGTGTCCACATGCATTTGCTCTTGTCAAGGTGGCCAGCTTAGCCTGGGGATCAGGGACAAGTGGTTTAACTGTAGATCAGTGGTTCTCAACCCTCCTAATGCCATGCCCCTTTAATACAGTCACTCATGTTGTGGTGACCCTGAACCATAAAAGCATTTCATTGCTACTTCATAACTGTAATTTTTCTGCTGTTAGGAACTGTAATGTAAATATCTGTTATATGACCCACAGGTTTCAAACCACTGCTTCAGATGCAGTATGGCTTCCGAGGGCCTATCCTTATGGGCAGCCCCAAAGAGAGCAGTGGCACATCCAGCCACGCTTCTGTTCATGTGTGCGCCATTCATTCCTCGCTCTCGTGTCTTCATCTGTGAGCTCGTTCACGCGCTCGATCCTTCATTCGCACGCTCATCACCCTTGCGTTTGCTCCTCAGCAGGTACAGGTTGGCATGTCTCTGTAGACAAGCTCTGTGTCTCAGAAAGCAGTGTGGCAGGTTCAGGGCACACTGATTGGCTGTAGGAAGAAGGACTTATGGGTACAGGCCAGGACCTCATCACCCCAGGGTCACCCTCTGTCCTGACTGTGTACTGGAAATACTCAGGACTCTGGAAGCCCTTTTTCTCACAGGGTTTAAACCAGAAGGGTGCAGGGTGGATGGATGGCCAGGGACAGGCCTTTGAGTTGTGCCATCCCCATGGCATCACACAGGCACAGCCATACTGCCAGCCCATCTGGGTTCTTGTTGGAGGTCAGTCTTGTGGACTGAGTGACCACCAGCATGGGTGACTTCAGTGTCCAGTGTCCAGCTTCCTCAGAGGTCAAGCTACTGACAGGTGACCTTGAAGCCCCATGTACATGGTGACACTCCTTAAAAACTATTTGTTTAGTGTGGTGGTGACACACAACTTTAATCCCAATATTCAGAAGGAAGAAGCAGGTGGATCTTTGTGAGTTTGAGGACAGCCAGGGCTACACAGTGAAACCCTGTTTCAAAAATAAAATAAAATAAAATAAAATAAAAAATTAGAATAAGAAGAAAGAAAGAAAACCAAACCCTGATAGGATTTGGAGGGCACCTCACTATCTTCAGTCTCTCGTGACACCAGGGTTTTGAGTTATTTGTTGCACAGTTGGCCCGTTTGTGGTCATTCTCAGGCTCTCTGGTGGCTCAGCATATTGCTGTCAGGCTGTGAGTTTCTTCTTGGTGCTGTAATTGTTGCCCTGAAGGGGAGCTGTGGGGCTTCCCATTGCCAAGGAGAGACCTTGGTCTTACCATTGTTCACATTCACACTACCAGGTGTCCCCCATGGAGGTTAAACTAATAGAGAAAGCTTCTGCTGTTCTACTGAGTTGCCTCAAAGTCCCCTGCTTCAAATAACTGTTAGAGTCTCATGTAGTTGAGACTAGTCGTCCTGGCTAGAGTCATCTGAGGTGGGGCCTCAGCTGAGAAATTGCCTCCTAAACTCTGGCTGTGGACAAGCCTGTGGGACATTTTCTTAATTAGTGATGGATGAGGGAGGGCCCAGCCCATTGTGGGAGATTCTGTCCCTAGCCTGGTGGTCCTGGGTTCTATAAGAAAGCAGGCTGAGCTGGGCGTTGTGGCGCACGCTTTTAATCCCAGCACTCAGGAGGCAGAGGAGGCATGGCCTGGGCTCCAGAGCAAGGTCCAGGACTGGCTCCAAAGCCACAGAGAAACCTTGTCTCAAAAAAACAACAAAAAAAAAAGAAAGAAAGAAAGAAAGAAAGAAAGAAAGAAAGAAAGAAAGAAAGAAAGAAAAAGAAAAAAAGAAAGCAGGCTGAGAAAGCCAAGAAAGCCAGGGGAAGGAAGCCAGTAAGCAGCTCCCCTCCATGGCCTCTGCATCAGCTCCTGCCCTGTGTGAGTTCCTGTCCTGACTGCCTTCCATGATGAACAGTGCTGTGGAAGTGTAGGCCAAATAAACCCTTTCCTCCCCAGTTTGCCTTTGGTCATGACTTCTCATCACAGCAGTAGAAACCCCTATGATACTGATCTTGTCCTCCTGCCCTTCCTGCCTCCGCCTCCCGAGTGCTGGAATGACAGGTGCACACCCCATACCCTGCCACAGTGGTACCCTGATGGAGAGGATATGCTGAAGGCCTCCAAGTCACCTAGGAACAAGGGACATAGGGCCTGACTGCCCTGGGGGTAGTGGAGTCCCCACAACACTAGCCTAGATACAGGGTGGTGGCAGCAAGGCCCAGGGTGCTGAGCAAGGCGGGCAGGCTTGGGCACTGCAGGAGAGCAAGGCTTGTGCAGGGTGGGCTCAGGAGCCCCTAGTGTCCTACTGGTCAGACCTGGTTCTGAGGTTCATTCCCAAATGCCAGGCTTCCTTTACCCCCAGACATTATCACATCAGACAATGGCCCTGATATGTTCTGCCCTGGTGCCTAGTCTCCAGGAAACTGGCTCTGTCATTCCATGGAGTGCCATTTCTGTCACCACAGGGGCTGGAAGAGCACAGACCTGTCTGTGGGACTCACACTAGGATGTGGGAAACTGAGTCTCAGACAGATGGGGAACCTAAGGAGTGTGACCCAGGAGGTCAGGAGAGACACAGCCCTGGACAAGGTGGGCAATAGGAGCTACACCGGCCTCACCCCAGGAAGCACCCCTATTGTGGCTTGTCTCTTTCTTCTTCTTCTTCTTCTTCTTCTTCTTCTTCTTCTTCTTCTTCTTCTTCTTCTTCTTCTTCTTCTTCTTCTTCTTCTCCTCCTCCTCCTCCTCCTCCTCCTCCTCCTCC